AGTGTATTATTGAAAATATCTTTGTCCTTCCAGAGTTTCAATGGCATGTTTCCCGGTGTTAATGGCAGCGCACAGCGTTTCTTAACTTCACTGGTCACTCGTTCATCTGCATTCAATGTACTCCCAAAACAAGTTTTTTGTGTCAAGGTACTGACAGACATTGGCCTAGATTCTACCAACTGCCATTCAATTGGTCTTCTTTAAGATAATACACATACTCAGATCAGAATATCTTCGCATAAGCATTAGGAACCGTGAAATCGAAGTTTCGATATTGCCTGGCAGCAATACAACATTATGAGCATTTTACTCTCTTGTAGATATAGTGTTCAGAAAATAATGCATCGAAATGGCCATTCGTTACGCTATACATTCTGTGATAGCAAGATGTCGTAAATAGTACCAGTCGTAAAAGACCAAGATATCGACGTAGTATGCCAAAACATCCAAAAAGAAACAGCCAAATGTTTAATACAAAAGTATGAAAAAGTATTATTTTATCATGTGCACTGCTGAACCTATCTACAGTATCAGAGGGTAATTTAATATCGAATAATAAAGGAGTTTACCTGGCATAGTAATCAGTTTATTATAAACATGAATACAAGCACTGGTTTATTCAGTGTGTGCATTTGTTTTATTAAAAATCGTGGTGTTCAATCAGGCAAAGTAGTAATTGATAACTTTAAAGCGAGTGACGTGTGACGTTTATTGGGGACGTTGTGCTAGTTATTACATTGAAGAATCAGCTATCAAATGGTACAGGGCGAAATGTAGCCATAAGAGGTGCTTGATCGACAGTGACCGTACATCTCTTCTACCATCCAGGTATGACCAAACGGAAACAAAATGCTAAATATTATTTATTCGTTAAGTCAGCGATCGAATTTCTTCTTGAATAAATTACTTGCTCAAGAGAATTTCGGATGGCGACAAAAATGGCGCCTTCTCACGATTCGAACCCGGCACTTCTTTGCTACTTAGTCACCCCAGAGCAAGAAGTGGTTCATCACATAAGCTCAATTTAAACAGTTAACACGGACTCAAACTTAACAGAAAGTAATTGCGCTGCCTCATTAATAAAGCTAAAAAATATGACGGCGACCATGCGACTGTGAAAATCGCACGGAAGAGTTCTACAACGGTTAAAATTATGCAATAAAACATACTACTAACGTTTGATAGTTGCGATATATGTTCCGCAGCTGTTCTTCGTCAGCTTCATCTGACCGAATTTGATCCATCTCCAGCTTCAGTGTCCTAAATATAAATTGAACGATGACGAATAAAAGCTTACAACTTGAAAAAAAAATTCTAGAACTGACCAAAAAAGAAGGTTCCAAAATCAGGAAATAACGAAGCAATCGGTCTGTAAACAAACCGACTATAAAGAAAACGCCATGCAGAAATACGGAAATTCAAAAACCGGCGGCGTAAAAGAATTCCTAGCCAAATCAGTCGCTGAAGTAGGATATTATCCACATATCGAATGTGTGTGTGTCATTATCGATGGCGGGATCTAGATATGGCGTCGTTGTCAGAACTCTCGCCGTTGCGAGCGACATCCTGAACCTGCTGCATAATTAGCACGTGTATGATTTGTGACATCTCTTTCGAGCTGTCACAAGGCGCCGGATATCGCGTCGTAGAAGTAACTGTTCCTCTTCGAATCCAGATCGGTCGCAACATGCCCATTAAAGTTGCATTCCAGCCTTTTGGCAGATGTTCGTCGGGTGCGAAACATTCGACCAACTTGTCTAGCAAATATAACGTTCATTTCTTATTCTCCACATACACGAGGACCATGTCTGAGGCAATGTTATTCTGACAATACTCAACCGAGACACCTGGACATTAAAATCAGAGAAAACGTGCTTTAAACACTGCACAAATTTTTGCCCTTGATCAAATGTATAATTATTAAATTTCCAGCAGTAGAGATAGAAGCATTACAAAGTGAAACCGCTGTCATGTCATATTTTTTTAACCTTAAGACATTTCGATTCTGTTCCATCGCCACTTTCAGTTCTTCGATGCGCTTTGCGGTTAGACGGTTCGCCAACTGGGTGGCAGGGGACTCAATACTGCCGGTGACATCGGTTCTTTTTCTTCTAGGAGTGTTCAGCATGTCTACCAGCGATGAGTATAGCCTGGCACATTTCTAAGATAGAAAATGTGAAGAAATTCGTCGAAAATAGAAAATATGGCATTTAAAAAAGTTAAACATTATAATGGATAACTTTACTGTTCAGAGACTGAATTTAGGTCTCATACTTTTACACGTATATATGCCCCATACACACAACGTATGGGAAATGAGCCGAATAAAACTTCCCACACCAGAACAAGGCACTATGCTTAAACCTCAACATTTTCCATCAATTCGGAACCAGTCGGCAAACGATACGACGGAAATTAGGGTTGAACATCTCTCTTTATGCCTTAAGCTGCATCTGTCCAAAAGAAAAAATTTCCAATCAAACTAAAAATTAACGATTGGGCACCACCTTCCGAATCAACTGTCAAGGAAAGTACGTAAATGCCTTATAAAGTACACAATTCATTTCAACAAGTTGCTGGGCCATTGAGCAGAAAAGAACAGCAGCTCCCGGAAAAACGAGCCACAATCTGAGCAAAAACCTCATGCATAGCTGCACGAAACAAAGAAAGAAATAACATCTCTTCATCGTCCCAAAACGTGGGATATTCGATGAAACAGTCCCGCCAAGAATTGTACATCAAATTCAATATTATCGAGAATGGAGAATCGCGTTTGCCAATATTCTTACATACCTTTTCGACGTTTCACGTCATACCTGATTCACTGAAAAAATATTTCATGGCATTGCCCTTATAATGAAGCAAATACAACTTGAAATGTCAAAAATTTCCATAATAAAACATTTTTAGAGTCAGCCCGCAAAAAGTCCAACGACCACTGAATTGCTAATTTTGATTATAAATTAATCACTACTATAATATTTGATTAAGAAATTTGGCTTAAAAATGCATCAAGTTCATTGCTGGATTAAACTCCAGATTCGTAGTTTCGACCATAATCATAATCATAACAATAGACTTAACGCAAACTTAGACAAAAATGCACACTGCACAGTACATCAGTCACTTTGCTAACAGGAAATGAAGAAAACAGCATAAAGCACAACTTTATTTGTTGAATTGCGCCGCCCCTCTCGTTTGCAATCCTTGTTAAACAAGTTATGACGAAATGATTATAGTGTTTTCATAAAACTATAAATACTGTGAGACTATAATTGTTTTTCCCAAGACCTCGGAGCTCATTATGACGCCGACAAGTTACCACCAAGCGTTTTCACTCCTGTCTGGTCCATTCATCATCGAAAGATTAATCTATTATCTTCTTTCTTACTGTTTCTGTTTTCCTTCGAGCTTTCAAATACATTTTTTCTCTTGTATTATGCTTATCATTTTTGTGCTCAAAAATGATGTAATAATACACTGTGCCACAGCTCAGATAAATAAGTTAATGCCAAAATTTCGGACACATAACAGAGGCATCAAGACAAAATGCCCAGATAAAGGATGCTGCAGCGACATCCTCATATCTTTCCATATTTTGTCTTGAAGCCACTGCTGTGTGGCTGAAATGCAGGCAACCAATGAATAGCTGTATTCTGACATCAGCCATTGTCTTGCGCTCAAAATCACTGATTAAGAACTTAACAACTTCATTAAACAGACAATGCATAATGGAAATATACTTTCAGAGTCATAAATATATGCCACTACCTTCTTTTGCTATGCTTGATATTTGATTAAAAAACTGAATATGTAAATTATTGTATTTTCATAACGATAACGCGAACGTTATCTATACAAAAACCAGTCAACGTACAAACACAACGAGCAACGAAA